TCTACTTTATGTATAAATGTATTATGGTAAAGTAATTAAATGAATTTTTTTCTTATTAGTGTTTTTAAAAAGTAACATGTATTTGCAGAAGATTTATTTCAAAAATAACTTGAACAAATTACAGTAAGTTATCTTTATATGACTAATTTGGTAATGTTATAAAAGACAAAAATATATTAGAAAACATTTAAAATGTCATGGTGATATTTGAGCATTTAACGTAAAGTAATTTTGCGACATATAAAATGTGTAATATCTGACAAAGTATACTTTTTATTAAAAATATATAGGTAATTTCATTTGTTTTAAAATGTAGTTGCAAATAAATCGGTGCATTGTTTTAAAAAAAATGTAAGAATAATAAATTATATTAAATAGTAAAGGTTTTCCTCTACTACTTTTGTTCATTTTGTTTTAAAAAAGGCTATTATTCAACCCAGTTACTAGAATTACGATGTATGTATGAATACAGCATTTCACACTGGTTTTATCGTACGAATATAATAGAAAATGCATAAGCTAAAAACTTTTATGCATTTTTGATAAGATCGTATAACTGAACTCGAGAGTATTCGCACTCAAAGTATTTCTTGACAGAAAAATCATTTAGAATTTTAGTCGAATCGTAACCGAGTTAAACCGAGAGAGAGAGAGAGAGAGAGAGAGAGAGAGAGAGAGAGAGAGAATAAAATTAGTGGTTTGATAACGTAAAGTAGATAACAACTAAAGAGGAACGCTACTTTACGAAACTTGGTTCATGCAGCGCATAGTATTTCGCAGCACGAAGTTACAAAGCTTGCCCCTCGTTCGTAACGTTCGACAAATCTAATGCTTTGGGGATTGCTGAAGTTTACCTGCTCCTCTTTCCAAATTATCGGAATTCCCATAGCGAACTCGCATATTTCACCTTTGATGCGCGATGCGAGAGAATAGCAGCGACGTACGTTGACGGCGCGTATGTGAAGAGAAATTTACCACTTCGTGGCGACGAAAGCCTCGCGCATAGCGGAAAAGGAGTTTATCCGGTGTCACGAGGTGACAAATCCTCTTAACCGCTTTACCGTCTTGCATTGTCGCGAATCGCAATGCATCAACATTGCGCACAGAAAAGCACAAATCGAGCGAATTTAGTGCTCGATCCCTCTCATTGATGATTGACTATAAACAATAAATGCCGTTAATTTCGCCAAATGAGAATGAGGAGACATTGTTCGTAATACATATTGAAAAAAAACTTGTGGTTAACACGAACTGATAGCTTATGTGTGTTTTGCTAATAAATCAATATGCACTGAAAAAAGTTGATTGAATTAATCTGAAATACGTTTAATCAGACTGTTTGATAATCAAATATGAATGATTTATAATTTTGATTAAAATAACCAGATAAATTTAATTTCATATATATTTATATTCTAGTTACGATAATCAAACATACTTTTTACATGAATTTTGGTTGCAAAAACTTTTAATTAAAATATTAGATTATTTTATTGTGATAACCAGAAATTTTGTTTAATTTTATCAATACTTCTTTGATCATTACATATGTCACATTAATCCAATCATGCTCTTTTTTCTCTTATAGTCGTAATAGTCAAATAATTGAATATTATTATATTATACTAATCAAACTTTAACTGATTACTTAAATATTCTGATTAAACATTAAAATATTTGATTATAAAAATCAGAAATTCTGTTTAGTTCCACCAAACTTGTATATTTAAAACTTATGTGTTATTAATTTTAATAATTGATTATTTTTTCGTAGAATAGATATGTATTCTGGAAGCGGCAATTTTGTGTCGAACGATATAATTGTGTGATGGTAACAAGTTTCCTAAGCATGTATCAGTTTCTATCATAATCAAAGGTTCATCGCCTATGTCGTGTCCCCGACTGGATATACGGCGTGGCCGCTGTAAATTCGTTGCATCGTCCTATTCGCAACGTTCCTTTGAGAGGGTCTGACCCATCAACGTATATTTCGCTTGGCCGCCACTTTCACTTTCTGCCATAGCGACGTGCTCAGATACAGATCGCGGTCTGTTGACATCTATTGATCATGACATGAATAATGAATGGATACACCGCCTGAATAATGCATGCATCAACGTCGAACAACATCCACTCGATAGCGGTGTATAACTAGTAGGGTGTACTATTGGGAACGTTGATGAACAGAGGCCACTCGCTATTGGCCAGCACCATGATATCGCTACGTGACTACGCTCGCTACAGGTCGATATATTTTCTTTTGCGTCCAATATAGCTAAAATCATTTTCGTTCTTGTCCTCGGAAGCGATGAATTTCATTTGATTTCCATTGTCGAAATGTCGCTTCCATCTTTTAACCGCTAAATTTTTGTACGACAAATATTTATAGTACGTGAAATCGAATTTTATATGAATTCTTTAAGAAGTCTAAGAAATTCATCTTCGTTATCTTTATTGAGCAGTATATACAATATATGTAAAAAGAATAGAGCTAGCAATTGGTATAATAATATGTAATTATGATAGATAATTTTGAAATAAACTTATTATAAAGTAAACTATACTGTTAAATTCACAATATCAAATTATATTTAAGATATTTTTAATCATTGGTATCACCATTGCTTCTATCTATAGTTCTATCTATAGTATATTAATTTGATTAAAACAATGGAGTTTAACTCAAGAAAATGATTAAATTTGCTTCAGTTTATTATTTACTAAACGCATACGTTAATATGGACGATGCTTATTTTGAAACTAACCACAAAAAGTAATTGATTTATATTTTAACACACATAGAAGTTAAATATAACAAAATATTATTTTACTGAAGGAATTGGATTACCATTTTGCAATTAAGATTCATAATAAATATAATTTAACATTCATGAAATATATTATATTTATTATGATAATAAATCAACGACTGTTTAATCGCAAAAATAAAATATGCTACAAACGCATTCTTTTGTTGTAAAGTTTCGTCTCTTCGTAGCTCTGAAGAACTTCAATTTAATAGTTCTTGAGAAATACGAAGAACTTTAGTTGTCAGCTCGTCTTCTGCGGAGTCTGCAGCTTCGTGAGGACTTTACACGGCTAGTAAAAGTAGAATTGGAGTCCTGTTACTTGCGTAGAGTATTTATTTCTTCTTGATACTAATACTCTTCTAGTAACTTGCATATTTGCACACTTGCATTGCATACTAATTAAATAGAGTTCTAAAATTAAGCAAGAGACCTATCAAAAATAAAATTATTTTACTATCTAGAATATCTCTTTCACAAATAATAAAAAGAAATTAATTAAAGCTGTCATCAATCTCACATGATTGCATTCTTTTAGAACAAGGCTTTTTAACCAGCATACTGTGGCCTGCCACAAAAGGTCATTTCAAAGAAGATGAAAAAGAAGTGAAAAAATTTAGAAATAAATAAAAAATCGAGTAATTCGAAGTAAAAAATATTTTCAAAATTGTGAAAATTATCTAAATTATATTCCATTTCATCTCATTTTGATCTTATTTTAATCTTTATGTTTATTTCTGAATGTGTTTATTTCTGAATGTGTTGGCGATATTTGTTAAACGACAGGCTGACAACAAGCACTCAAGCATGTACACCTAATATTGCATTTCGACAAATTTAATTCATTCTTTAGTAAAAAAGATTGAAAAATGCTGATTTAGAATATTACATACATTAATATATATGTATTTTTATTTTCTGTTCCTATTATTTTCAACTTTATTTTTGCAAATTACTTTATATGTACATATTTAAAACTACTTTATATGTACATATTTATTTTTAGAAAAATTAAATTTTTTCCATGATATTATAAAGATACTTGTTAACAAAGAACGAAAGAACAGAAGCTCGTCTAAAGAAGTATAAAGGCTAACGTTGCAGTTGTAACAAAAGTTCAAAAGAATGGAGTATGTGCTTTAGCCGTTAGGCAAGAGAGAACGTTAATGAAAGAGCCACCGTAGAATTGCCTCATGGCACGCAAACAAGTTGAGCTGTCGGTCACCCTCAACTATACTGGCTTGCTACAGAGGGATTGCGGGACTCGCGGCTGCAGGATGAGAAGGCGAGTCCCGGGAAGAGAGCTCTTAGTTGCGTTAGGTTAGGTTAGGTAGTTGCAGCTATTTGCGGCTCATCGGAACCATAATTAGTTTTCTCCGTGAAGTCTTGGTCGACCAAGCTTGATAGGCAAGCAGTTTTAGGTGAGGGTGACCGAGCGTGCGGAACGACGCCTCCTCGCCGGATGGAAAGTGTCTTTCGCAACGTTCTTGTCGCGGCTTTATCGAATTCCAGAGCCGCGCTAACTCGATCAAGCCTCAGTCTCTTCAGAATATTTACTTTCCGGGGGGGTGTGAAAGCGTGATAAAGGCGGACAACTAATCCCGTTTATTGTTTTACCGTAACGGGCGGCTGGAAAATTTATCCGCCCTTTGAATTTGGGCGGATGCAACGTGTCCCCTCTTTCCAGGTTTGCTCAAGAGTTTAATAATACAATCCGTTTATTAAAATGCATATCTGCACTTTTCGTGTCAGGATTAAGTTTTAGAGAACATTCATATTGCAAAAAGAACGTAAACTCTATGATCGAGGGTTTTATGTATTATAATTGCATTAACTATTTAATTATATATAACTCGACATACAAGTACATTATATCCTAATTAATCTCCCTGTCCGTTCAGTTAATCAATCGCGGCCGGGCGTAAAATAGTTACAACAGTACGTGGTAAATACCGATAATAGTTGAACTCGTGGTCGAAGCGTGGTTTCTTGTCGAGAGGTCACGCGACGGTTTATCCAGGAATACATAAAACCGGGACGCGCTGTCAATGTCAATAATAACAAAAGCGCGATAAGGCGACACGCTGTAAAAGGAGCGAGAAAAAAACTGACGAAAAATGAAATCACAGTAACTTTCTTTAATGGTGGCCACGTCAGAGAGGCTGATGCCATTATACCTCGTCGTTGTTACAGGTTCCGTGAACGAGGCTGGTGTTTTTGCGCTACGAGGCAGGCAAGAGGGTAGCCGGCGTTCCAGGCGAACTACCACCAGCACGACGAGCACAACGACGACGTCCGGCTCGACATTGATACCTCTACCTGACGAAGTAGTGCAACCCGCGGCCCTTTTGGCCCCCGAAGAGGAGTCATGGTCTACCAGTTCTTCCACCACAACCAACATTGCTCTATCTTCAGATATGGCCGACACGTCATCCAATCCGCCATTGGAACTTGTAGTGAAGCCTCATAGTAAAGTCATCTTACCCTGCGAACTGGAAGGAAATTACTCGAGATTATTACTGCCGGGAGCAAGGTAACACGCGTGTTCGAATTAAATCAATCTGTCGTGATCATGTTCGTTAAAACTCACTTCGAAGAGTTAAAATTGAAGTATATCTCAAATATTTTAAATGAAATTTGTCTAAGTGAAAAAAATATCATGTTCAAACTTCAAATAAATCGCATAACATAATACGCAATCGTAATCTCTATCTTTTTTTTTGTAATATTTAAAGTAAGCTTTTATGTCTTTTCATCGCGTGTATGTCTATATAATAATATCCTCTCATCATATTAATGCATATTAATATCCGGTTTCACTTTATAATAACGGTAACTTTTGCCTTGAATACATTACGGTGAAATTATTCCCTTTACGGAAACAAAGTCGCCCCCTGTGATAGTAATGCGGGGATACGGCTGAAGTGTCTTTGTCGCCTGAAGATCGGGCGTAACGAAGTTTGTTAGGTGAACTAATAATGCGGACGCTGCGCTCCTTGTCAGAAGTTACAGAATACGACCGGCGACGTGGCTACACGAAGGTAGTCCGGTGGATATGATCACGATAGACACGAGAACGGAAATGAGCGGAACCGGGCACCGGTACATCGGCGACTCGACAACCGCAGCACTGCACATAGACAACGTCAGATTAGAGGACGATGGTGTGTGGGGCTGCACGCTGGAGGATGACCGGGGGAAGATTCTCTTCGGCAAACCGGTGAAGCTGGTCGTGCTCGGTAAGTATCTCACGATATGCTCTCCGATGTTCAATTTTTTTAAGATGAATTTTTTATTGAAAAATTAAGTCCATATAGGTCACAACTGCGTTCATTTTTCATTTGGCTGTATTTGCTTAATAAAGGACGGTTTTGTCGGTATATTTAAAAATTTAAGTAGATTTAAATTAAAAAATAATTTTATTGGAGTATTAAAATAATTATGTAGGAACTCAAATTAGTTGTTGAAATGTCAAAACTTTTTGCAGTATTGCGTAAGAGATTCTTACGTAATTATTTTGACAAAATTATCTTCAGATTTGTATCTAGTTAAATTTTTAAATATTTTAGTAAAGTCGTTCTCCTCACGTTTATGTTTTAATATAATCAGTATTATGCGTAAAATTTGATTGTTATGCTTATTGATTACTACTGCGTAAATAATTTGTGAATATATAACTCATGAATTATGAATCGTGTTATATACGAGTGAAGGAAATGTCTCAGGTGATGTAGGCACACATATGTTAAATATTTTATATAGTTTTAAAATCGTCAAAGATTTATACATAAAAACGGTTTGAAACATACGTTTATTTATTTTAATGAGTGATTCTCGACATTGATATATTGATTTATAATTTGTGCGCTCGATATTATTCGAATATTTTTAACGATTGCATCAATTGATTACGTCAAAATAAATGTATATAAATCAAAATAATATTCCCTTTTTTATATAAAGAATTTTTATCTGAGTTTTAGAAAAAAATGGCGAATTTTTTGGATATAACGCATTTTTATGTGCGCTCTGAAAAAGTGAGACGTATGTGAATTTTTCCGAAAACGTGATGCTATCTTGCATAAAGCCTTTCAATTTCGCGTGAATGATTAAATTCTCGCAAAATTCCGACTGACGAAGTTTTTTTTAGGAACGTGCCGGATACATTTAGGAGCAATAACATATGAGAGAAAAATTTTTCCGGGACGTATAATTGAGAAGGTAAAGTTTTAGCGTTCCCAACATTGTTCACTTTTACATTTCACATAATCCTTTTTTAAAAACCATTGTCATATTCAAATAATCAAAGACATTTATTATTCAATTCTAAAAATGTTAGAATTATTTTGTCATTTTTGTAAAAGGATAAAAAAAATAGGAATTTTCATTATTCGATAAAACGTTAATTTCAAGGCAATTTTCTAAAATAGAAATAAATTGTAAATATCCAATTTTTCTAAAAAATATTTCTTTCCTTTTAATATTATATTTATACTTTGTTGTGATTTTTTTCAACAATATTTGCTTCATCTATCTTATAACTTAGTTTTGATTAAAACTTGATTAAAAATTTTTACACAAGGTGGATATTGCGCGACTTGCTGCGATAAGAAACTTCTTGGCATTTCTTACTTTTGTTACACCCAAATTTAAGCAAGTGGGTATCGTACTGGGTAAAAGTGTTGCCGTCCTTAAGAATTTTCAGCAAGTGGGTCGGATCTCCGGAAATCGGGGGAAGAGACGTTTCAAGCTGCCTGAGCCACTGGTAATGGCAGAATTTATGCATATTAATTCGCGCCACTTGGACCCAGCGGTCGCATCGCTACGACATGAATATGCATTTGCCCTAAAAGTTTGCCCTAAAGCATTTTATCTTCCATTATTTTTTTCTTTTTCCTTTTCGCTAGATGGACGCGTCATTCGTTCTACCGGCTGCACTTCTACCTCTCTGCGACGAGGTGTATACAAGTTTACGCGAAACAATCGCGCCACCAGTTGACGCGAAAGCTCACGGTCCCCGACTGAATAAAGCTTGCTTCGTGGTTTTGCTCTTCGCTCTCTGCTCCATTTTTAATATCCAACCGCTAAACAGAACGAGGAGCATAGCGAGCTTTTATCTCCCGTGGCGCGGTACGTTCACTCGGGGCGTGACGCGTGTGTAGTTGTACACTCTCGTCGCATACATTTTTGTGCCTCCTTCTCTATGCACCATCTGATTATTCCTGGTTTACAGCGATGTTTATTTTTCGGTTCCTGCACGAGTATTTTGCACTGACAACGGCAACCAGCGGTATACTCACAACTCTGCTTAACACGGCACTTTTTAACGTTAACATAGATGTAGGATATTATTTATACTATATATGGAAAGATTTTTGTGATTTTAATATGATCTTTTTATGAAATATTTTCAAACTGTCTAAATAGACGAAAAAGGATTTTTTGACATTAATTTCTTGCGATTCATAAAAATAAATTTGTATGAGAATGATGACGTTGAGAGAGAAGCAGAAGTCTTTAGAAGAAATACAATACTTGATATTAATTACACAATTAGAAATGTTATCTTATTTGTTAGTATCTGAGAAGTTTAATTCATATATGTATAACTGGCTTATAAATAAACGCTCATGTGATATCGGAAAATTGATTCAGACTGCTGCAGAATAAATTCTGGAAACGTGACCAATTACTTTCTTTCGCTTCCCGATACTTCGACTTATTTCGCGTATCTCAATGAACTGCATTCGACTTCATAAATCTCTAGATTTATATCTTCCGTATTGTGCCTTTCGCAAACCGGTCGAGTAAATATGAAAGAAGAGCGCTAAAAGTTGCCTGCCGCATGAAATATGGCACCGAAATCCGCGCAGCGCACGATAAGACGTTGAGCACACTTAACGTCTACCCTGGCGAAGTCGAGAAAAACAAATCAACCGCGAGTGTTCCAACCCGGAAGCGCGCGTCCAGCACGCCAATGCGGCCAAAGTAAGCTTTCATTGAAATGCAATGGCTTGTATTTCTTTCATACTTTGTTTTGTACATTATACCTTGCCATACACATTGTTCTGTGAATCGCAAAATCAAGATGAAAGATGTACGAAAGATCGCGATTGTGCAGTTACATTAACAATCGAATAACGCAACAAACGTTAGATTTCATGCGATAAAAATGTTTCAATTATTTAATTAAAATTGTATATATATCACTGTCAGTTTGCATTCGTGGAGGATTAATAATATAATTATAATTTACTTATTTTGAAAAAAAAAAACAAACAGAAATAAATGGATAAATAAAAGTATATAAACAAAAAAGTTAAATAATGAATAATTAACGACATATTAATTAATAATGAACAATGTATTAATTTTGTTTATTAATTATGCATATTAATTATATTTATTTCATTCTAACAACATCGGGATTGTTGTGTCGGATATTGTTTCGGCTTTTAGGAGCTCTATCGATTATCAGAAAATTTGAGTCAATTTACGATAAATTTAATGGTGGTCACAATGTCGGACCGATGTGACACCTTTTGACAATAATTCCATAATATACGTGGTATACGTTGATGATTATCATGTTTCTCCGGCTATCAAACTTAGCTTTAGTTATGTAACGCATACCGCATGTTGCTATATAATAGCTGTAACATAAAGCTGTATGAAAATGAGAAAATGTATAAACTCAATTTGTAATATAGAAATTTTAATTGAGTCCCGATATTTTGGTGCACACGATATTCAATTATGAATACTTTGTTTGTATCAGTTTAAACGGCACATTTCTTTGGGATTAATATTGTCAAATGCATATTGACAGAGTCATTATAATTTTGCAATTTATTACTGCTAATTTAAAATGCAGAGCATCAGATCGACGAAGTTCGTTAATCAAAATGCATGACGATAAAAGGGATTACGGCGTACTAACAAATATGAAATGCAGATAAACAGCAATAATTGGTAAATATGATGTTAACAGAAATAAGTTATAAAAGATTATTTAATAGAATTATAGAGGATTAAATAGAAAACTGAGTTAATAAATTTTCTTTATTATGCTTGTTAAAAGAGAATTATATGAATACAAATGTTTAAACGCATTGTTTTTGATAGTATCTCGCAAGTGTGTAATCTCAATACTATTGCATGTCTTCTATGTCGAAAACTGGATCAATTTAGAAAGTGAAACAAGTTTTTATTTATAGATAACTTTATAACGCATCATGCTCTCGAAATTATCATTTCCACTTTTCATCAATCATTGGAATTTCAGTTTTATTCCTCAGGCAAATAATAAGGGAGGAAGTACAGGAGTAACGTCCGTCTGCGGCTGATAGGGACAGATTTGCCTAGCGTTACCTGGGTGCTTGACGTCGAATCCGCGAGTGAGAAAAAGTTGAGAATAATGCACGTTTTATGCGGTTGCCAGGTTCCCCGTATTTTATTCGACAAATAGACAGGGATGTTAAGGCGGTTCATCCTTAACCCGCGCATTGGGCACAGACTATGGCTTCCTCAAGATTCATCTTGAAACTATCCACACACATACTTGCGCAATCTCTCATGCGCCTCTTCAAAGCGCCTTTTATATTTTCTCTCATTGCGTTTTTTTTTTTCATATTAAATCGAGATTCGAATTACGAATGTAACGAACGTTTCTTTCGCTTCCTGTATTATTTTCTACTTCAATACTAGTTATTATTCGTATCGTTCGTATCTTATTCCTTCCGATCTCTCGTTAACTTCCTTTGTATGCGATTCTTATTCTCTTCTCTATTTTTTTAAATGTTGCATATATACATACATACATACATTCGTACATACGTACATGTACACACACATATATATATATAAAATTTATATTTATATTTCTGAAAATAGATAAGTTATACATACAAAAGTTTTTACATATAACACATATATTATGTATATGTGTGTATATATATATTTTTTTTGCGTAAAAACCTTTTGTTTATGTATTTATCTACTTTGATATCAAAGTTGAATTTGCCCGCACACCAAGATAATAAATATAGATTTTTCTACATCTTCCACTTTCTATTTTCTTCGTTGCTTCCTTCGTATTTTTCCTTTTTTTCTCTTAAAGGAAATCCAATTTGCTGCCATCCTTTCCTGTTTGCGCGTGTTGTGGAAAGATCTGACATCCACATTTAGCAGCTTACCGGCACTTGCAATCGTTATCACTCGATCTTTTCGATTTTTCATT